TAGCATAGAGTACCTCTTCATAGAGACACATCAACTGATTGGACATATATAAGGAAGCCTCTTTAATACGTGTTACTGAGCGCATTAGAGTTCAATGAATGTTAAACAAATTCCTATTAGGATGCATTAATTAAATTAAACTTCTTCAATGTTAGCTACCTAGATGAAATGAAAGATGGGACTAATTGTTAGAATCCACATGTGGCAACAATGATTTTACGTGACCTGATACATAAAAGTTCAAAGATTAAAAAAAAGACAAGGATACTACATTGAAAATTGTTGAGTTAAATAATTGTAAAATATATATTCGAAATTGACTTGTTTACTATTTCTTTTTTGACCTCTTCTCATGCAATTAAGTTTTCAACCAGACTCCAGCTCATTCTAAACGGTTACAAGTGTTTCATGAAACACAAAGAGTGGCTTCTCCTTGGGGAACGTTGATTGGAAATGCTTTTAATGTGAATGAGCTATTACTATTGAAATCTAATAGCCTTCTTTCCTCTTGATTGGTGCCTTTTCTTCCCATGAGTACATTGCACCATCATCTGGTGATGTATGCATGGTTTTATAGAGTTCGTATTTTGTGAATAAACATATTTTTGTTGTTCAACTTAATCTTTTTAATTTCAAGAATGCATCTATGCATCTAAGGAAGATGTCACATAAACATATTGTAACTTAACTAGAGTCCAATTGTACAATTAGTTGGTTTGAAAATATACATTGTTTAAAAAGGAAAATGACTCCTAATGAATTATTTGATTAGAACTTCTACAATTAGAAAGAATAAAAATGACAATTTTAAATAAAACAATTTTTACATGAAAAAAACAAACTACAATGAGTTATGAGCTCTATTTATTCTCCCTCACTAAAAGAAACTCCGGGCTTTAAATAGGAACATGTTTTGTATAAGAGTGGCTTCTCAATTGGGAGCTTTGTTGGAAAGAAATTAAATGGGAATGGAGTCATAGTAAATTGAAATTATTATTGGAATTGACATTTATATCTCTAGCCTTTTGATTGATCAATTTCTTCCATTGTGCATAGTGGACCATAATTACTTTTTTCGTTCCATTTCCAAATATGTACATGATTTTGTTCAATTATTGATAGCATATAGTACCTCTTCATAGAGACATGTCAATTGATTGGACACATATATGGAAACCGCTTTAATACGTGTTATTGATAGCATTAGAGTTCGATGAATGTTAAACAAATTCCTATTCGGACGCATTAATCAAATTAAACTTCTTCAGTATTTGCTACCTATCTGAAATGAAAGATAGAAAGTACATTCTTTGGATACTAGTGACAAATTGTTAGAATCCACATGTGGCAACAGTGATTTTACGTGAGCTGCTAGATAAAAGTTTCAATGATTAAAATAAAGACAAGGATATTACATTTAAAATTGTTGAATTAATAATTGTAAAATATATATTTGAGATTGACTTGTTTACTATGTCTTTTATGACCTCTTCGCGTGCAATTAAGTTTTTAGCCAGACTCTAGCTCTTTCTAAACGGGGACTAGTGTTTCAAGAATCACAATGAGTGGCTTCTCCTTTGGGAACTTTGATTGAAAATACTTTTAATGAGAATGAACTATTACTATTGAAATCTAACAGATTTCTTGCCTCTTTCTTGGTGCCTTTTCTTCCCATGTGTACATTGCTCTATCATCTAGTGGTGTATGAATGGTTTTATAGAGTTCGTATTTTGTCAATAAATATATTTTTGATGTTCAACTTAATCTTTTTAATTTCAAGAATGGATCCACGAGTCAAAAGGAAGATGTCATGCAAACATATTGTAACTTAACTAAAATCCAATTATACAATTAGTTGGTTTGAAAATATACATTGTTCAAATGGAAAATGACTCCTAATGCATTATTTGATTAAAACTTCTGCAATTAGAAAGAATAAATGCGACAATTTTAAATATAACAATTTTTGCATGAAAAAAAGAAACTACAACAAGTTTTGAGCACTATTTATTCTCCCTCCCTACAAGAAATTACGGGCTTTAAATAGGAACACGTTTTGCATGAAACCCTAAGGCTGGCCTCTCAATTGGGAGCTTTTATTGAAAAGAAATCAAATGGGAATGGACTCATAGTAAATTGAAAATATTATTGGAATTGACATATATATATAGCCTCTTGATTAATTTCTTTTCTTCCATTGTGCATAGTGTACCATAATTACTTCTTCCGTTGCATTTCCTGATATGTATATGGTTTTGTTCAATTATTGATAACGTATAGTACCTCTTCATAGAGACACGTCAACTGATTGGAGACATATATGGAAACCTCCTTAATACGAGTTATTGATAGCATTAGAGTTCAATGAATGTTATACAAATTCCTGTTAGTACGCATTAATTAAAGTAAACTTCTTCGGTGTTTCTTACGTTGATGAAATGAAAGCTGGGAAATACATTCTTTGGATACAAGTGGCAAATTGTTAGAATCCACATGTGGCAACAATGATTTTACATGAGCTACTGGATAAAAGTTTCAATGATTAAAAAAAAAGACAAGGATATTACATTCAAAAATGTTGAATTAAATAATTGTAAAATATATATTCGAGATTGACTTGTTTACTATTCTTTTATGACCTCTTCTCGTGCAATTATGTTTTTAACCAGACTCTAGCTCTTTCTAAACGGGGACTAGTGTTTCATGAAACACATAGAGTGGCTTCTCCTTAGGGAACGTTGATTGAAAATACTTTTAATGAGAATGAACTATTACTATTGAAATCTAACAGATTTCTTGCCTCTTGATTGCTGCCTTTTCTTCCCATGTGTACATTGTACCATCATCTAGTGATGTATGAATGATTTTATAGAGTACTTATTTCAAGAATAAATACGTTTTTGATGTTCAACTTAATCTTCTTAATTTCGAGAATGCATCCACGAGTCTTAAGTCATGTAAACATATCATAACTCAACTGAAGTCCAATTATACAATTAGTTGGTTTGAAAATATACATTGTTTAAAATGGAAAACGACTCCTAATGCATTATTTGATTAAAACTTCTGCCAACAGAAAGAATAAATAGGACAATCTTAAATATAACAATTTTTACATGAAAGAAAGAAACTACAATAAGTTTTGAGCTCTATTTATTCTCCCTCGCTACAAGAAATTATGGGCTTTAAATAGGAACAGGTTTCACATGAAACCCTGAGAGTGGCTCTCAATTGGGAGCTTATATTAGAAAGAAATTTAATGGGAATGGACTCATAGTAAATTGAAATTATTATTGGAATTAACATATCTCTAGCCTTTTGATTGATGCCTTTTCTTCCTTTGTGCATAGTGCACCATAACTTAATGATTTATGACTTTTTCCGTTGCATTTCCTGATATGAATTTTATTTTGTCATCAACTGATTGAAGACATATATGGAAACCTCATTAGTACGAGTTATCCATAGCATTAGAGTTCAATCAATGTTAAACTTATTCCTATATGGAAGCATTAATTAAACTTCTTCGGTGTTTTGGTACCTAGATGAAATTAGATAGGAAGTATGTTCTTTGGATACTAGTGACAAATTGTTGGAATCCACATGTGACAACAATTATTTTATATGAGCTGCTGGAAAAAAGTTTCAATGATAAAAAAAAAAAAAAACAAGAATATTACATTCAAAATTGTTAAATTAAATAATCGTAAAATATGTATTCATGATTGACTTTTTTACTATGTCTTTTATGACCTCTTCTCCTACGATTATTATTATTATTATTATTATTTTTAACCAGACTCTAGCTCTTTCTAGATAGGAACTAGAGTTTCATGAAACATTTTTACAAGATCGTGATGCCAGCTTTCTAATGAATTTTGAATCATCAAAAATGGAAATACAAATCCTAAAAATTGCGTACTAACCAAAAACACATTATTATAATAGCTACTACAATTCTAAAGCTAGGCTATTATCACCCTACTAACACATAGGATGTGTGATGACAAAGAGTCGTCAGCTTAAAAATCTAAGGATTGTGTAGAGATACAATTAATAATAGTGCCCTTGTTTGAGCCCCATCTTTTAAGAGTGCATTTTTTTTTCAAAACTCATTTTCAACCACACATTTTTAAATAAAGTAATTATACACGTATTTCAAAAAAATTCATTAATTTTTAACCACACAATCTCTAAAAAACTACTATTTCATAATACATTTTATCCCAAAAATGGGAATCAAACTAGACAGTATGTACCCAAATGTTTTATTAATACTTGTTGAGTACACTCAAGGTCTTCATATAACAAATGAGATTCCAACCCACTGAGAGTCAAGTATGAATTGGGAACCTAATGGGTCACACACTAAAGAATAACTAGAAGAATGAGATTCATTCATTAATTAATTAACAAGTGTTGTATAATTAATTAACCCAAATAATTAATTGGGTTGCTTATTAATATGCCCGAATTAATTAATTGGATTAATTAATTTATGAACCAAATTTAATTAATTGGATTAATTAAATGTTGGATTGGATTAAGTTAAGAAACGGGCAAAGTCTGCTTTGATTTATAATAGTAGGTTGCTGGGGTTTGGAAAAATCAAGAGAATACAACTCATATTCTTGATAATACAAGAAAAGTAAAAATCCTAGTTTTCTCAATCTTATTCTCTATGTGGATTTTCATTGGAAGCTGGATAATGAGATTGTTGTGGATTGCAGATCGTAATTGTTAGAGTTTAAAAAAAGTAAATAAGTTTGCAAAATTCAATAAAGATATATTTTTGTTGAGAATTCAACCTGCTGACCATACTTGCTGTTAATTGTGCTTCTAAAATTGAAGAAAACGTGTTTACAAAATAACAACTTCTTTAGTGGAGACTTTCATCCAGATTTCGACACTTGGCATCATGATGTCCATCATATCAGAATCTATTGACTTACAATATATAAATCTGATACAATTCTGAATGGGGATGGCACCATCAATTTTTTGAGAGATTAATTCATTTTTGAAATCCAATCTCTACTCTCTCTTTCTTCCCTGCGAAAAGACCTTCTTCTTGGTGATTTAGGATCTTTTATTTTGGATATTTTGGAGAGAAAAATTCTAGGTTTTTGGGTTAGATTGCTGACCGCTTTCTTCCTGTGTGGAGACTCCATTTTTGGTGATTTTCAGATTTGCGAGAGAGACTTTATTCTTGTATTTTACTGCCTGATTATTGGGGCTTTATAGTGCAATCGAGATTTATCCATTTTAATGGACACTCAATATGGGAATAAACATTAGAAGGGGTTTCCAAACCTCTGGGGCTTCGGTTGAAAAAATATTGTGTTCATTTTACAATTTTCTACACTTTATTTTACTGTTTGTTTTGTTTGGTTTAAATCTTGATTAATTCTTAGACGCTCCTCGAATTTTCAGTGGTATCAGAGCAATTTTGGACTATTGGAGCGTCTCTGATTCCTGTGAATTGACTGGATTCTGAAATTTTCCTTCAAACTGCAGTAAACATTGGCTGGTGGAAATTGAGTTTTATCAAACTCGTTTGGTGAGATCTTTCTTGCATTCTGTAATTAGTTTTTACAGTAGAGTCTATAGGAATTGATATCTCTGTTCTTTGTGATCCTGCCTCTTATACTTAGTGTTAAGTGTTTACTGTTTGTGAAAATTGTATAAGTGCATTGGTCATTGGCCCCTGATCCCCTAGTTTGCCTGCAGTATTTTTATTGTGTGTCCCTATGTGTTCTTAAAATCAAACTTGTGTACTGTGAACTTTCTTAGTGAATCTTGTCATGGCTACTACTAAGTTTGAATTGAGCATGTTTAATAGGAAGGGGGACTTTAATATGTGGAGCCAGAAAATGAGGACTATCTTGATGCAAATGAAATGTGTTAAAGCCCTAGATAATTCATGGCCTGCTGAGATGTCTGTTGCTAAAAGAACTGAGTTAGAAGAAATAGCGTGGAGTACTATTTTCTTGTAACTTTTGGACAATGTGATCAGGTGTATAGGTGAAACTAAAACTGCTGAAGAATTGTGGACCAAATTGAAAGCTCAATATGAGCCAAAAATTATTCCATACAAATGTTTTTTGCTAAAACAATTCTTTTCTTTCAAAATGGACCCTTCGGTTGACTTGGATGAAAACTTGGACAAATTTACGAAATTGACCTAGGACCTTGCCAATTGTGATGAGAAATTATCTGAAGATCAGCTGGTTGTGGTCTTGTTAAACTCCATTAGTGATAGGCATAGAGACTTAAAGAATACCTTGGAATATGGAAGAGATAAGCTTACCACCGATATCATCATAAATTCCTTGAGAAATATGGTTCTTGAATTAAAATCAGACTCTATCAACCATCAAAGGGGAGAAAATATTTTTTTAAAAGGAAAAAATGTTGGTAAATCTAATTTTCATTCAAAATTTCAAAATGACCCTAAGAAAAGAAACAATGACAAAATGAAATCCAAAACTAGGGCAAATGGAAAGAAATGTTTTTATTGTGGTAAGTTGGGTCACTTTGCAGGGATTGTTACAAAAAGCAAAATGATTTGAAAGGAAAGAAGCTAAGTGAAGGTAATGCTGTTATGTCCTATGACAAGAAACAAATTGATAATGGCCTGGTTCTTGTAAATGTTTGATTCAGGTTGCTCTTTCCACATGTGCCCTAATAAAACTATTTTTTCGATTTTGAACAAACAAAAGGAGGTCAAGTTATCATTGGAAACAACATGACCTGCAAAGTAAAAGGTATTGAAACAATAAAATTGCTTTTGGAAAATGGCAGAATTTTATTATTAAAAGATGCCGGATTTGTTCCTAAATTAGAAAGAAGCCTTGTGTCTCTAGGAATGCTGGATGACATGGAGTTTGACATAAAAGTGGGTCAAGGACATATTAAAATCTTTTGGGGTAGTGATTTGATCACAGAGACATGGTTTATACTTTCTAAATGCAAAACCTTTATTGAGTCTTTCAGCAACTGTTTTAGATGATGAATTTAATCTTGCAAAATTGTGGCATTGTAGACTTGGTCACATTGGAGTAAAAGGTTTAAAGGCTTTACAAAATAAAGGTTTATTTGGAAAATCAAATATTGGTGAATTGGCTAAACGTGAACAATGTTTGATTGGAAAGCAAGTTAAATTACCTTTTCCCACTAGTACTCATAAATCAAAACAAATTCTAGAATACTTACATGCTGATTTGTGGGGTCCTGCATCCACCCCTACATTGTCTGGTTACAAGTATTATTTGCTTATTATTGATGATTTCTCAAGAAAAATTTAGGTATTTCTTTTGAAAACTAAAGATGAAACATTTACTACATTTAAAGATTGGAAAACCCAAATTGAAAATTAAAACTTTGAGAACGGACAATGGACTAGAATTTTGCAATTGTAAGTTTAATGATTTTTGCAAGTTGCATGGCATCTTAAGACATAGGACTGTAACATACACACACCCAGCAAAATGGCATTGCAGAAAGAATGAATAGGATTTTGTTGAATAAAGTTAGATGCATGTTTTTAAATTTGGGCTTGCCCAAATTATTTTGGGGTGAAGCTGTTAAAACTGCTGCATATTTGATTAATAGAAGCCCTACAAGTGCTTCAAATTTTGATGTGCCTGAATTTGTGTGGACACAAAAGCCTGTGATTTATTCTTATTTGAAAACATTTGGTTGTGCTGTATATGCTCGTCAAAACATAGGTAAACTTGAACTTAGATCACTTAAATGTGTGTTTTTAGGCTGTGCTGAAAATGTTAAAGGTTACAGTTTGTGGGTTTATGGGGAAAAAGTTTACAGGGTTATCATAAGAAAGGATGTGGTCTTTAAGGAGTCATGTATGCAATGTTTGGAAGGGAAAAAGGGGAAATTTGACTGAAAATGATGTCCAAATAGAGGTGGAGCCTATTAAAATAGATAATACCAGTTCTGTCCCCTTAGAAACAGCAACTAATGAGGCTGACCAGAATGAAAATGAGCCTGATTTGGTCGAACCTTATTTATGTGATGAATAAATATACTTCTAGATGAATACCAGCTCACTAAAGATAGGGATAGGAGGCAAATTAGACCACCGGCTAGGTTCAATAGTGATGAATTTGTGTTTTTGTTCACTTACCAAGAAGAAATTGAATATGAACCTAGTTCCTATCATTAAGCCTTGAAATCTAAAGATTCTAAGCGGTGGTTGAGTGCTATGGAAGAAGAAATCTCTTCCTTATATAAGAATGAAACTTGGCAATTGGTTGACAAACCAAAGGATAAGGAATTAGTTGATTGCAAGTGGGTTTATAAAATAAAGGAAGGGAAAGGTGGCACTAATAATGTTAGATACAAAGATAGACTAGTTGCCAAGGGTTTCACACAAAAAGAGGGTGTGGGCTATGATGAGATTTTTCCTCCGTGGTTAAATATACAACTATAAGATGTATTCTTGCTTTAGTTGTGCAATTTAAATGGAAATCAACTAAATGTAAAAAATGCATTCTTGTATGGTGAATGGAATAAATGATCTACATGAGACAACCTCTAGGATTTATTAAGGGAAATCCTGAAAAAACTATGTGTTTGTTGAAAAAATCATTATATGGCCTAAAACAAGCTCCAAGACAATGGTATAAAAGATTTGATTCATTTGTCTTGAAACTTGGGTTTATTAAAAGTAATTATGATACATGTCTTTATTGTAAAGGAAGTGAAGGTAAAGATTCATTGTATCTTGTGCTTTATGTTGATGATATGCTTCTTGCTAGTGCCAATAAATTTGAAATTGATGATATCAAACATAAATTAAAATCAAAATTTGATATGAAGTATCTTGGTCCTGCTAAGAAAATACTTGGCATGCAAATTATTAGAGATGAGAAATCTGATTGCTTGTTCTTATATCAACAAGATTATGTGAATAAGATCTTAAAGAGGTTTAATATGTTTGATTGTAAACCTATGACTTTACCCCTTACTAATCACTTTATATTAACATCTGATTCGTGTCCTAAAACTGAAGATGAACTTGAAAGAATGTCTAAAATTCCTTATGCTAATGCTACTGGTTCAGTCATGTACTTAATGATTTTCACCATACCTGATTTGGTTTTTAGTATTAGTGTTTTGAGTAGATTTATTGGAAATCCTAGTGAAATTCATTGGGAAGCATTGAAGTGGTTACTGAGATACTTAAACTGTTCATCTAACTTGGGTTTGATGTTTAAAATGGACAAAGATGGGGTAATTTTAAAAGGTTATACAGATTTTGATTTTGCTGGAAATAGAGACAATAGACTTCATCTTATTTTTACACTTTGTGTAGTACTATGATAAGTTGAAAATCTCAGTTACAAAAAATTGTTGCTCTATCTTCCACGAAGGCTAAATATATTGCTGCCACTAATGCCATTAAAGAAGGCATATAGCTGCATGGTTTGTTGAATGAACTTGGTTTTATAGACATTAATCCAATACTATATTCTTACAATCAAAGTGCAATCCATTTAAGTAAGAATCTCATGTTCCATGATAGAACTAAGCATGTTGATGTAAAATATCGCTTTATAAGGGATATTACATCAAAAGGATTGCTGAAAATAAATAAAATTCCTCCTTTGTATAATTCATCATATATGGGAACTAATGTGATACCTTTAAATAAGTTTCAAAACTATTTAAAGATGTTATCTATTGATTCTTTTCATTGATTATACAGATACTTGGAGCAAATGACATTATAAATGTTGGTGAAACTCGTAGGTGCACTATAGCCTTAAATTTTGGAAGCAAGGTGGAGATTGTTGAGAATTCAACCTGCTGACCGTTCTTTACTATTAATTGTGCTTCCAAAATTGAAGAAAACGTGTTTACAAAATAACAACTTCTTTAGTGGAGACTTTCATCCAAATTTCGACACCTGGCATCATGATGTCCATCAGATCAGAATCTATTGACTTGCAATATATAAATCTGGTGCGATTCTGACTGGGGATGACAGCATCAATTTTTTGAGAGATTAATTCATTTTTGAAGTCCGATCTCTGCTCTCTCTTTCTTCCCTGTGAAAAAGACCACCTTTTTGGTGATTTATGGTCTTTTATTTTGGGGAGAAATTTTCTATGTTTTTGGGTCAGATTGCTGACCGTTTTCTTCCTGTGTAGAGACTCTATTTTTTGGTGATTTTCAGATTTGCGAGAGAGACTTTATTCTTGTATTTTACTGCCTGATTATTGGGGTTTTATAGTGCAATCGAGCTTTATCCATTTTAATGGATGCTCAACAAGGGAAGGCATTAGAAGTGGTCCCCGAACCTCTGGGGTTTCGGCCGAAAAAATCTTGTGCTCATTTTACAATTTTCTGCACCTTATTTTACTATTTGTTGTGTTTGGTTTAAATCTTGATTAATTCTTGGACGCTCCTCGACTTTTCAATTTTCTATCATTGTTTCTATCTAAGTATAAAGTAGATTATTGGCAAGAATTGAAATTTTGTTTAAATTTCACAGTACATGATTAAGTAAATTCTCAATAGAAGTACCAATACACATGGCTACCTATGCCCCCCACCTAGATTGGACATCGAGATGGTATCAACTTTGAGCTATATTGGGGTCCGTATATAGGACTTTACAGGAAAGCACCAGTGCAATTAGGCAACTGCAAGATGGACAAGACACCTTCGTGATTACCCTCTGCAATATAGATGAGCGGCAGCATTGCTATCGCGAGAAATTATTGATACTCATGGGACGCCTCAATGATTACCATGACGTCCCATATGTTACTGATGATGGCAACCAGATAGTAGCTCCACTCCACAGAGAGTAGTAAACTCTTATTTTATTTTTATTGCTTACATTGAGGAGAATTGTAATTGAAGTTTAGGAGGTATGGTTTGTAATATCGTATTGTGTTATGTTTGATTGCGAGTGATTGTTTTTATTTTCATTTCCAATTATGCTACCAAAAAAATAAAATAAAAATAAAATAAATAAAAATAAAAAATTGACATAACATAAAGAGGCTTCTTGTTCACTTTAGAGAACAAAAAGGATGGACCACGTACATTCCGCCTGGATTGGGCGATTTTCATGCTAAAATTTTATTTTTTTTCTTGATTTTTTATCATTTTCATCGGAAAGCTCCCGAGGCATCTAAAAAACTATAAACGGACATCGTTTAGGTCATAAAAAAAAATTACTCTCAACCCAAGATTTAGAGAGAAACTAAGGGAGAAGAAAATAAGAGAGAGATCAAGAAATTAGAGTTTGAAGATTGGATAGGGAAAAAGAAGATTGCATGCTCTTAGAACAAGATTATCCACTTTTCTTCGTCCTTCCTTTTAAATTCAATAATGCGGCTAATCAGTCATTAAGGAATACTATAGGACAGGTTCGGTATTTGATTCCTTTTTGTATTTTTCTTTTAGTTGGGATGAACAATTTAACCTAGTCACGACTTTTGAATCAATTCTCTAGATTCTTATACTTAATTATCTTACATGTTGATTTTACTTGTTTTTTTAATACTTCGAAGTAGTTGGCCACAGGGGCGGAGCCAGCACCTGGCGAGGGGGCACGGCCGTGCGTGTTGGCTCCACAAGAGTCTTCAACAGCCATCGGGCACCACTTCCAGACTTCCATTTGCAGAGCCGCGGGGGAAGAAGGGAGCCGGGAGGAAGATGATGAAATTTTGAAATTGGGTCTTCTTTCTTTTTTAAGTTTAGGCCTTTTTGTTTGGGCTAATGAGTTGGGCCTCCTTTTTTTTTCTAAATATTAGACCCAATCCAGGGATAACTCCCCATTACCTACCCATGACACGGCCATTCCAATTCCTATTGGAGACAATTAGACAAATCGTAGCTAACCCTTTAGTTCTCCTTCTCCCTGCTGGCTACTGTAGGCGATTTGCAAAGTGAAGAGACAACTCAAATTTGCTGATTGTTGATAGAAGATGAGTCACTGCCGACGCCAATTTTTTCAAATTCCAATTTTCGGTCTACGACTCCAGCTGTGTCTGTAAGCGCCTTTCTTTCCTTTTCTGTTTTTTTCCCCGATTGTTGTTCTGTGTTCTTAGTTAATTTTGTCATCTTTGTTCACATTTCACATTAACTGATCAACAGATAGTTCATTTATTTATTTATTATTTATGATTATGATTTATAATTTATAGATCTTGATCTATGTTTTAAGAATAATGCTTGTGGCTCACCGAGGTGTCCAAAATGGACACCTGGTGCCTTGGTACTGGACACGGGTTTGTACCCCAAGCATAATCAATGTTTTAAGAGTCATGATTGAGAAATGAGAATTATGAATGTGTTTTATGATAAATTATTTATGAGTTATGATTGATGATTTATTTTTGTTCAGTGATTTTGGAACTAATGTTTATGAAATTAGGATAAGTGGAAAAAAAAAACAATTTAGTTCATTTACATAAAAATTGAAGAATTTTTAATATTATTTAATTAAATATTAATAAATGAATCTTCTATTACGATCTTTAATTGTTGATGGTCAAAGTCAAAGGGTCAACGGTCCGCCCTAGCTGACCGCAGATCCTAGATCTGGCCCTGGTTGGCCATTATTGCATTGATTTGTCAATTTGTAACAAATTGAGAGGTACGGTAGACTTTAGACCACGTAATAAAATTCAATAATTGAAAAAAAGGTACATATACACTTTTTTTATCGGTGCAGTCATTAATTGTATTCATAGGAGATTTAATGCATGTAGTTGAGATTTATTCTGATTATAATAAGTTAACTCGGTTAAATCTAATTGATTTGAACTCAAGAGGATAAAATTGATTAAATTAGTGAATATGATCGAATACAACATTAGGAATGGATCTTGAGAGGCAAAGTTAACACGAAGAACTATGATGGAATCTCGAGTCCTAACACTTGTCCTAAGTGAGTTAAAATTTCCACATTAGTCGCCATGCATTTTTAAAATTTTTTTTCTTTGACATGAAATGCTTAGGATAAAAATTAAACTATATCTTAACTATTTTATTTGAATTAAAGTTAGGAATAGTTTGATTAATATTTAGATAGATAGTTCCCATGGGCATGATAATCTGGACTTTTATGTTCAATTTATTACTCGTTAATGATATGGTACACTTATGATAGCAATCGTACAACAATAACCCACAACTATGCAATAAAAGTATAAGCTATAAGATGTGTGTAGACTTTTCTAGAATTAAGGTGCAAGTTACGAATGGTGTTGAAGTTATGAATTGTGGTGAAATTTCAATTCTTTGGTCCAAATTGGTATATTTGAGTGAAATAATGATTTTGAGATCAAGATTCTTTACAAAGAGTCAACAAATATTAAATTATTAAGTTCCTCATATTCTTTATGAATTAACGTAATTTTAAATTCGTCACGTGTTCATCGTGTGTATATGATTCACACTACATCACCAACTCTCAAGCTTTAAGTTTAATTGAAATTGGCTAACATAAATTAAAGGGTGAAAAACTCTGTGGATAATGACCAAACATTTAACATGTACTGTTTCAGTCATTGGAGTTTTTTATATTCATTAAGTCACAAACTTTTGGAATTACTTCGCTTAAGTCCTGCAATGTATACGTCATTAAATTCAGTAGTTTTGTTTAAAGACGATTTGATGCAGCCCCAATTCTCAAGAATTAATGGCTCAAGAGTTCCATTTTAGTTTATTTGTGTCTTTCTATGTTCCGTTTTCATTAGTTTCATGAAATGAGTTGTATTTAGTTTGGTTGACCTTGTCCTTTGAAGTTTGTGGAAATATGTTTAGATATTGGACCTCATTAGTGTAATGGTTGGTGGTCTATTTAATGAATATTATAGAAATTGGGTTTATATCAATTAATGTCCATCCAATATTGTTATACTTAGTGATTTATTATTATTATTATATCAAAAATCATTACTCAGTATACGTGCTTGAGGCAATGAATGTTTGCTACACATGTCTCTCCATACAAATTTCACCAAATTTGTTAAATCAATTAACCAAATTTATACTAAAACTGAGTTTGGTAATTAAAGGGAAACATTTTGAAAGTTTGGACACGTTCTCAGTTTTTGACCCTTATTTCAAGCAAATTATATTTTTACACAACTCATTTATCAAACAAAGAAGCAAAAAACTGCAAATAAAAAACAATGTTTGGCTTCATTAATGAAAATTGTAATAATCTCGTTGTAAATTCTTAGAACTATATTTCCCTTTTATCGATCCGGATCCCAGTAACCCACCTTGACCCATTTTCCATTGATCAATTGATATAATCCATCTTGCCTTACACTCCAAAAGCACCCACGTTCAGCACAATCCTTACAACCTTTTTGAATATCAATGTCAACAGATAAATCGTAATAAGAATCTACGGTATACATTTGGGCAAGAATAGGGGGTTTATCTCGGTCCTTGCAGTCAAAACTGAACTGGGCAACACCTCCATGCGGCGGTACACCAGTCCTTGCAGTCCAATCGCCACGAAGGCATCTGACAGTTATTGGATTTGATAAATCGTTAACAAAGTTTATATTGAATTTTTTTGAATATACTATGGGCTTGTATCCTACGAGAAACAGGAGAAGTATAGGCAATTTAAATTTGAAAAAAATCATGTTTTCTTGAAGGTTCATTGTAATGGTAGTCATGGATTTCCCTAAATGAGCTATATATAGGATTTGTGGTAACGTCTAATATTATTTATTATAGTCTTATTTATTGATGTTATAAATTTAATTGGTACGGTTATAATCTTATCCATGCTTCTTATGACACTGTTATTTTTGGATTTATGATATATCATTTGCTGTATCATGCAATCTTATTTACCCATTTAGAAATTTTATTTGTGAAATTGTTTCAATATTATGTTAGAGGTACTCCTAGACAAGATACTTGTAAAAGAGGGTTTATTATGTAATAATCTTTATGGTGTGGTGCAAAATGAATTAGATTTCATGGAAAAGGTGGGATTGATGCAAGCAGAGATATGCAACTTTTTGATTTTTGGAGAACTTTTGGGGTTCTCCGTTTTTTGCAAACTTTTAGTCAAATTTAATTGAGAACGGGCCAATGAACAAGACTTAGCAGTTTTGCTAACATAGGACCAATTTCAGGCAAATTCTTTCGTTTAGACCTTTTTTCCCCCTTTTGCTAATTTTTGTTTTGGTTATATCTTAATTAATTTAAGTCGAATTTGAATTCCGTTTGTTAATTAAAAGTTGTGATTGGGGGACACAAGTTACATAAGTTGAATCTTAAATTACCAGTGATCATGAGTAATAATGTGTGGTATTTCTCGTTTATGAAGTGAATAACCAATCTCACGAGTTAAATATAGTAATATTTAAATGGATACATTGATGTATTGTTAAGAGAACAAAACATTGGAGAC